TCAGTGGTGGGGTGGGGGGGCGGGGGGAGGGTGCGTCACTGGGTGACACCATCAGAGGGGGTGACACCAAAATGACAGACAGTCATGGACCAATAGCCTGATGGCGGCATGAGAGAGAAGGGGGTCCAGTCGCATACCTTATCCTGACGGGTCAATGTCCCCTCCTCTCTTTGCTGGTGTACATCACCAAGATGGCCGCCAGCAGTGAAGAACATCACCACGCATGTGTGATGATATCGCACCACGGACACCATACGACATGTGCAGCGACCGCACCAGGTGACACCCACCCTGGTGCCGCCGCTGACCTCACGCACCTTAATAGGTAATGCTACCTACAAAGAAATGCAGCACAACACAATGCAGGTCAGACGCAGCCTCTGAACTGCCATGCGTACCGATCAATTAAAGTCTGTAGTATTTTGATGACCTGCGATTGACGTGCGTTCCAAATTTACATCAAATGCAGAAAAACAATGAGCCCAAAAACTCTACTTTGGGCAAAATAAACTTACCAGGCTTCCAGCAGGTAAACATTCCTTGAAAAATCACCCCCCATCATGGAGGCTTTCTTCTACATTAGTCAAATCCAGGGCCATCCCTTGGATGGGGGAATTGAGTGACATTCAGACCGCGAGGTTGAAAGACAAAGATCCTGAAGTGTATGTCCAGCGTTACTATGTGTTCATATCATAAAGAAGAGTCCGGCGTGCTTTGAAAACTTGACATAGAATCTAGTAAGCCAGGATTTGGTAAGAAATCCAAACTTCTACTTGTGTTGCCGGCTGACATGGTACAACACTGTGTGCTGCTGTCATGTATTCAGAGGTTAAGCCTCTCGTCTTTAATTTGCAAACAGACCCTTTGTGTCCTTACAGTGCACAATGTTATAATGAATTTACCATATCATCCATTTATATCTTATACAAGGCAACCATATATTATTAATATTACATAGTATTTATATAGCGCCAACAGTTTGCGCAGCGCTTTACAATATAAGGAAGACAATACAGTCACAATACAATTCAAGACAAGACGGTGAGGAGGGCCCTGCCCCTGGGCCCCAAGTCACTTTTTTTTTTAGGGTGATTACATTCAGTATAGCTAACCTGCCCTCATAGCTGAGGTCCTCCAAGCACCTTAGTCCTTTAGTTGCCCCCTCTGAATCTCTGGGAGGCAGAGGCGTAACTAGTGACCTCAGGGCCCCGATGTAAGAATCCCCGAAGGCCCCCCCCCCAAAAAAGAAAATTTGTTTTTTTGTTGTTTTTTTTTTAAAACAAAATTTAGACAAGGGGAAAAAAAAACACTCTACTTTTCCATGTCCTCAGCTTCCCCTCATCTCCCCCTTCACGTCCTCAGCTTTCCGCTCCCGGACCCCATGTCACCTTTAGTTCCAGCTCCCTGTCTCCCCCTTCGTGTCCGCAGCAGCTCTCTATTCGGCACTGGGCAGCAGTTCTGTGTGATGAGGGGGCGGGGATAACACCGCTCCCACTCATTGGCTGCTGCGCCGGCTGGATCATACTTCAGACTGCGCCCGGAACAAGGTGAGGGGAGCAGCGTGAAGCATGTAGGGCCCAGGACAGGAGGAAGAGGTCCCGGTACTGACATTAGCGGTTACCGGGATAATAAATATCCTGGTAATCAGCGTTTACCAGGGGCCCCTTCCTCCTGTCCTGGGCCCCCTCCAAGTGGCGGAACTCCAGGGCCCGGTCGCGACCTCTGCGACCCTGGTAGTTCCGCCACTGCTGGGAGGAGCATTCAGCAAAAACCATCAAAAACGAGGGGAGAATCTACAATCTCCATGCAGACAGCATTATCTAAACCAGGGGTAGCAAAACTCCGGCCTTCCAGCTGTGGTGGAACTACAAATCCCATGATGCATCTCTCTCCAGGAGTCATGTCTGTGGCTGTGAGAATCTTGCAATGCCTCATGGGATTTGTAGGTCCACAACTGGAGGGCCGGAGTTTGGCTACCCCTGTTTTAAACGATTGTTTCTCAACTGGTGGGTCGCGACCCCGTTTTCAGGGGGTCGCCGCAAGCCTTCCGTTTTTCAAGGTGAGAGGCTCCTCTGTCTCCCCCTAGCACAGCACTGTCAGTTCTCCCACCGAGCAGCCATTGAAAATATGCTGCCGAGTGTCAGATTGAGGTGGGGTGGGCTGGGGGTATGGCCGCGTGGGAGCTCCATCCATATGTGCATCGCATACAGCTCCCTCACGTCACGTGTCCTATAGAGGTGCCATGGTGACATCACATTCTGGCTCCTGGCACCTCTACAGGGTGTGTAAGGGAGCTGTACCAGCAATGCACATATGGATGGAGCTCCCTCACAGCACGACAGTCCACACTGGACCCCAGGCTGAGGATCCAATGCAGTTCAGATCGGGAGACTGGGTGCACCTTAAAAAAAAGTAAAATACATTAAAACACTTTTGGTGTGTGGATGTGTGTGTGAGAATGTCTGTGAGTGTGCGAGATTGTGTCTGTGACTGTGTGTGTCTGTCAGTAATTGTGAGGGCCCATTCACACTAGTACAGTGATCCCACAGTCCCGTGCGATTACCTCACTGTACCACACAATGAGACCTACCGTGCATTCTGGTGTGGGAGGTGTGTTGCGTTGCCGCGTGTTCTATTGCAGTGCGACTTGGGTCACGACTTAATGGCCAAGGAAAAATGTGGGTCCCGAGGTCACGCAGGTTGAGAACCACTGGTCTAAACCAATGGTGGGGAGAAAAGGGGCGGAGTCTGAGGGGTCTTTACCAGCAGGAACTGAAAATATCCGGCTTATAATACTTTTTGTATTGATGATTGTACCCACAGGAAGGCACAGACGGCCCAGCAGTACCAGCAGCAGCTTCTCTCTCAGGTGGCGTGCCACCATCAGGTGCGGGAGGCGGAGAAGGCGGAGGAGCGCCGAGAGTATGAGAATGGATTGCAGGCGGAGAAATCATACCAACAAAAGCTGCACGACATCCTGTCCAGACCGTACGTCCGCCAGGAGCACATCCACCCCTTGAGAAGGACGCGCCTCTCCAGCCCGAAAGACTGGCTGCCCCAATAATCTCACTCAGCCTATCAAACTGCCTTTAAAGTGTAACTCCACCCCAAATCTTTTTTTCTTTAATTCCAATTGGAGTAAGAAAGCGTTAGAACCTCTGCCAGAATTATAGTGCTGTCTGTGGATCTGTTGTGGAGATTGTCCCTTACTTCCTGTCCTGGTGACAGTTACATTTACTAAAGGGGCAAAGACATTCATAAAAAGTTCTTTCCCAAGCTACTAAAAAAAAAGTGTTTGTATTGCCGCTGTGTCCCTGTGAACCCCTTGCTGCTGGCCCTTTAAAAGTACCTAAATAACAGGAGGCAGGGATGGGCTCCTGATCATGTGACTGGCTGCCACAGCGATCACATGGTCAGGAGCCCGCCCCTTGCTTCCGCTTGTAAACAGCTCCCAGCGACAGCTCAGCCACTGTGCTGGGAGTGTGAGCAAAGTGGGCAGCAGGGCCTTAAAGCCCACCTTCATGCCGTTGCATGTATGTGTTAGCTGGTTGGCAAGTGCTTAAGATTTTTTCTTACTTCCCGTGCCAGTGACACCGTTTGTCACTGACACAGGAAGTGGGAAGAAACTTTCCCAGTGGGGACAACAAAAAGGAGAAAGCAGTAAAAAAAAAAACCTGACAAAGGGTTCTAACCACACACACATTCTATACAGGGCTAAAGCAAAAGGTTTTGGCTGGAGTTCTACTTAAAGCAGGGATAGCCAAACTCCGGCCCTCCAGCTGTGGTGGAACTACAAATCCCATGAGGCATTGCAAGATTCTCACAGCCACGACTCCCGGAGAGAGTTGCATCATGGGATTTGTGGTTTCATCACAGCTGAAGGGCCGGAGTTTGGCTACCCCTGACTTAAAGGGTCTGATCCTTTCAGCCAAATTCAACATTTTATTTACTACCTATCACAATCCAAGTATCGGATCTCATTGTCCTTGTGATATCAGTAGAAGGACTGTAGATAAAGCCGTGTCTATGTCTATGGTAACTAGCAAAGTGTTAAAGTGGAACTCCGGCTGTAAATAAAAAACACTTTTTATCCCATTAAACCTGTTTCAAGGAGTCTCCAATTTATTCATATAGAGCCATTTATATCAGTTCCAGAGCTCTCAGTTGTATGCCCCCATCACATATATATATACAGGACCAGTTTGTTCAGACACCAATAATTGAACTAGGAGATGTAACCAGAGCACCCAAAGGAAGGACATACACACTCCATACAGATAGCAGCCCTGGATGTCACTCCCTCACTTTGCATACAAGCAGCGATGGGCCGACGTCCTTCTGGTTCAGCACTGTAGGTGAAGGTAAATGTGAATAAATGACAAAGCTCCAGGCAAACATGTACATTGATGATCTCCGGGATCCCCCTCCTCCCCTCCATGCAGATTTATCTACAGACAATTTACACAGCACTGTACATACTGCACATTCCCAGCAGTCCCTGTCCTCAAGGAGCTCACAATCTAAAGGTGCCCATACACTGTACGATTATCGTACGAGAATTGCGGGAAATCCTGCGATCGTACGATAATCGCAAAGTGTATGGAAGGCGTGCGTCCGTTTCTACTGTACAAGCAGGCTGGAAAACCCGTCGTGAATCGTACGATTCTCGGCGGGTTAGTGGCCCGCTTGTTCGACAACACGCGCACACTGCCCGTTCAGCATTGCAGTCATCGGAAGCCCGCCCCTCAGGGGGGCAGGCTTGCGATAATCGCAGGTACGATCTGCCTGTCCAAGATGGGCAGATCGTACGTTATTTTAATTACTTTACAACCCTCGCAAGACAAAAGTCTTGCGAGGGTTGTAAATTGTATGGCCACCTTCAGGTCTCTATCTGGCATACATACATGCATACATACATACATGACTGCTTTACACAGGAGTCAATTAACCTTCCAGCCTGTCTTTGGAGTGTGAGAGCAAACCGGAGTATCCGGAGGTACTCTGGTTGCATACAAGCAGATATGCTGTAGAAGCACAACAAGCTTTATTGATGCCTCATTTTTAGGCCGTGGAGCGTGCTCGAAAACGAATCCCATGTGAACAAAAAAAGTGAATCGTGCAATCACAAGACACAAAAACGTGCACGAGGGTGATATTGGTCCTCTCTAGTGAGAAGGCCACAATTTTCCTGATCCCCCGGGGAGAAAAGCTCCTGACAGGGACAAGAACAACTCAGGTCCACCAAACCGAAGGCCGGCGGACCCCGATCCTCTGGGACCTGCCGAAACAGGTCCACCGAGTACTAGGTTGGGGGCTCATCCGAAGAGAGACCCCCAGGTGGGAGAAGGCAGAGGGGCCCATGTGTAAGTCACAAAACCTCCTCCCAAGCTTCAGGAATAGGCCCCAAAGAGTCAAAAAGTGCCAATCGTGCATAAATAATCTAGTGCCAGTGTACAACGCTGACAGGCCTTAGGGGCCGGAGTGCAAAAATATTGCCCCGGACTAGCCCAAAGGCCTGTCCAAAAGGCGTAGTGCAGAAAAAAGCGAGTAGGTGCCGTGACCAAGTGCACAGTGAATCACTTGTGGGGTCCCACACCCTAGTGATTTTCCGGCACCCCTGGGACGCCTACCCAGGGGGCACAGCACCACGGGCCTCTGCCGCCCCGAACCCTCCAGCCAGACAAATGCAGCACCATCCCTACCAGAAGGCATTAGTGCCAGCGAATTTCCTGTCTACAACTGGGGACAAGCCCGGCGAACCGGACCAGAATCAACCCAGGAGGAAAGGAAACCCCTCCAGCACCCACCTATCACATCAGGGAATACTAAGCATTGATGCCTTTCTCCCCCGAAAACTGATAAGAACAGATACTACACTTGATCTTAGCCAAAAGGCCGAGAAGCGATTGATGCCTCATTAGTTGAGACAGACATTCTCTCTCCCGTCAGACGTGACTTTTCCCTCTGACACGTTTCACCCAATGAGCTTAATCACCAATATAACTTGCTGTGGTTCAGCAAAAAAATGCAGCTTGTGTTTTTGTAGGTCATAGGTCAGGGTAGGCAAACTTTGGCCCTCTGTGGTGGTGAAGCCTAACAGCTGTGGTGAAGCCTAACATGCCATCATGCATTCGCCTCTGAACGTCATGCCTGTGAGTGTCAGAGTCTTGCAATGCCTCATGGGATTTGTAGTGTCAACACACCTGGAGGGCCGAAGTTTGCCTACCCCAGCCATAGGTGAAGGTAAGTGGTCTCCCAGCAGTTCTGTCCCTGGCGAGTTGTTCCTGGTGTGACTTTTGTACAGAAAGTCAAGGTTGTCACAGTCTCCTGCATCTCCCAATTGGACATCGAGCTTAATAGGTGATAGCAGAACATCTTCAATAGGGATAAATGGTAAAACTTGCCTAAAGGTGGCCATACACTTTACAACCATCGCAAGACCTTAGTCTTGCGATGGTTGTAAAGTAATTAAAAAAACTTACGATCTGCCCATCTTGGACAGGCAGATCGTACTTGCGATCATCGCAAGCCGCGCCCCCCTGAGGGGCGGGCTTCTAATGACTGCAATGCTGAACGGGCAGTGTGCGCGTGCGCACACCGGCCCGTTCGGCATTTGTCTCCCGAGCACCGTTCAAACCAACCGACAATCGTAAGATTTTCGGCTGGTTTTCGAGCATGTTGGTTCGACAAAAGACGTGCGACCGTACAGTAGAAGCGGTCGCACGTCTTCATTCACACTGCACGATTCTCGTACGATCGCGGGATTTCCCGCGATTCTCGTACGAGAATCGTGCAGTGTATGGGCACCTTTAGACACACCGCACAGAGACCAGACCGCATGCAATGGACCACAGAGGTGTACATGTAATCTAAATGTGTATTGCGCAATATCTCATCATGCGCAGTCCTGTGTTAACCCAATCCTCCCTTTTAGGAGAGACACCCTACCTAAGAGCCTATTTACACTGATGCATTGTGGTGACAGGTAGTAAAATGCACATTTTATTATGCGTGAGCGCAGGAACAGCATTGCATTGCAGGAACTGTACTTCTAGGCCGCTCAGATGTAAGCACCGGAGGCCTCACAGACCCAAGCGCTGTGGTCCGGTCTCTTCTCCTGGCCATTCTGAAAATGGAGCCATGGTCTTTGTGTTTTATAAATGGCCTGGAGGAGAGGGAGGCTGTGATGTGACGGCATCTCTGGGGTGTATGAGACCTGCAGCGATTCCATACAAGAGGCCCAGAAGTACATTGAGAGCTCTACTAATCCTGATACGTTGTACTGTATTAACCCTTGCATGGTTATTGTGCCCAGATCTTGGCTTTAAAGAAGAACTCCAGGAATTAACAAAAGTTACCCTTGTTGTGGGGCTACTCCCTGCACTGCAAGGGTTAACTGCTCGTTTAGGTCTAGGGGATGGATTAAAGAAGATATACTCACCTGATCCTCGATCCTGGCTGGCTGGCCTGGCTAAAGGTGCCCATACACTGTGCGATTATCGCACGATAATCGCGGTTATCCCGCGATCGTACGAGAATCGCAAAGTGTATGGAAGACGTGCGACCGTTTTTACTGTACGGTTGCACGTCTTTTGTCTAAGGAGCACGCTAGAAAACCAGCCGAGAATCGTACGATTTTCGGCTGGTTTTTAGCATGATCGTAAGATCAATGCCGCACGGGCCGGTGTGCGCACGCGCACACTGCCCGTTCAGCATTGCGGTCATCGGAAGCCCGCCCCTCAGGGGGGCGGGCTTGCGATGATCGCAAGTACGATCTGCCTGTCCAAGATGGGCAGATCGTACGTTTTTTTAATTACTTTACAACCATCGCAAGACTAAGGTCTTGCGATGGTTGTAAAGTGTATGGCCACCTTTAGGGCCGGTTCACACCACAAAGGCTCCGTTCCAGACAATTAGGCCTCTGGAACGCAGTAAGGAGATACAATGTTACAATTGAAGAGACCGCTGGAGGGAATGAGCATATAAATGAAACTATTGCTATCCTTGTAGTATCAATTGTTACATATAATATAGAGGTGAAAACTGAAATGAACCCGAAATGAAAAAAAATGTCAGGCCGAAAACGTAACCAAATTTTTTTTTTCTAACTTTTTCAATTTTTA